CCCAGCTACTTGGGAGGCGGAGGCAAGAGACTCGCTTGAGCCCAGGAGTTGGAGGTTGCTGTGAGCTGTAATGCCACGGCATTCTACCCAGGGGGACAGCTTGAGGCTCTCTCTCAAAAAAAAAAAAGAAAAATAGAAAACCACGGCTCAGCGCCTGTGGCTCAAGCGGCTAAGGTGCCAGCCACATACACCTGAGCTGGTAGGTTGGAATCCAGCCGGGGCTGCCAAACAACAATAATGGCTGCAACCAAAAAATAGCCGAGCCCAAGCGTTGGAGGTTGCTGTGATGCCATGACACTGTACCTAGGGTGACAGCTTGAGACTGTACCTCAAAAAAAAAAAAACTCTTAACACTTGTTTTTACTCTTCCCAATGTTCAAACAAGGGCACAAGCTAGAAGGAACAGCCATAATTTAAGCTCTCACTACCTTTATATTAAAAGATAAACCAGAGATACAATGAAGTGTTCAGAACACAGATTACAATCATGTTACTGCCAATAGTAGCAAAAGAATTATCTTCCCCACCCAGCTTACACCATTTCTGTAGGTAAAGCAACAGTTAACTCAAAAACCTCCCAACTATATTCACAAATCCCCTTTTCCAAATCAAGCCACCTTTTGATTTCTACATCTATAGGTGAACAGTGGCCAGGAAACGTATTAATCCAGCGTACTCACCAAATAGAAATCAAATGGGATATGTGGTACAAAGGGCCTGAACCTAAAACAAGAAACAGACCAAATTATTTAACACATACCAAACAACGGAAATGTATACAACACATCAGCAATTTAAATACTATGTCCTAGAAAGCAGCGGGGATGTGTGTGTGGAAGTAGGGTACCATTCTTAGCAGTATGGTCAAACTCAAGACCAAAGACCACAGCTGGCTCTTACAACAGCACTCCAAACTCTTATTTAGATGTCTGAAGCAGAAGCTAACTGCAGAGGCATTAAAAACTAGCACTTACCCTCCTCCTGGGCCTCCTCTGGAACCAAAGCGCCCACCACGACCACGGCCTCTGTCACCCCTAGAAATGCAAACAGTTCATTTGCACCTCACTTAAGTCCTATCTACCGTCCTGGCCAGCTCATTTCAAGCTGGCTGCCTTCCATCGTTCGCAATTCTCCTACACAAGCCAAGTGGCCCCTCCAGCTTACACTCGCTCCACTCCAAATAGTAACCGGCTGCACCCCCGTGCCGTCCTCATTCTGGACGAGCTCATCACAAGCCCTACAAGAAATATCCGCAATCCTGGGCCAGGGGCCCGTCCGGGGATAAATGGCACCGGCCTACTCAGTCCAGTTGGGGCGCGGGTGCTGCTCCTGGGAACTGGGGACACCCCTCGGTCTCAACCCCTCAGAGACCAAGGGACCAAACGCGTCTACCCTCTGCTGGGCCCCACCCCCACCGAGCCCGAGGTTCCCGCCTCTGCCGGCCTTGGACTCCCGCTTCTCTCAGTCAGGTTTGGGGCGAGCGCCCCAGATACGTGGCACGTTAACTCCTCTGACTTCTTTCGGTCCACATTCCCAAAACTTTCAGTGGAAGACTTTAAGTGTTTGACCACCTGGCTGCCCTTACCTCATGGCGACTTAAATCCCGAACAATGGAGGCCGCACCAACAGCCCCACTCCGCCGAGGAGCGGATAACTGGAGTCCGGCCTGCGCGTCCCAACAAAACCTGGCGCGATTGGCTCCCGCCCTGCTTTGCCGCTAATGCTTATTGGCTTACTTTGGGAACCGGACTTGAACCAATAAAAAACGCCTAGAAACAACCAATAAGAACCGGCTCGACGGAGACAGCGACACTTTTTCGAGCAGACATTAGTCGGCGCTGTATAAAAGCGTCTGGAAAGCGGAGACTCAGAAAACCTTCTATAGGAATCACTAGAAGTTTGCTATACGGCAGCAGAGTGGCGCAGCGGAAGCGTGCTGGGCCCATAACCCAGAGGTCGATGGATCGAAACCATCCTCTGCTATGGGGTTTTTTTTTTCCTCCCTCCGGACAACCCAAGTAATGTACAGTTCTTTGGACGTAAATGCCACCTTTCTAATTTTTCCTCCCTCAAAAATGCAAGCTTCAGCCGGGCGTTGGGGCGGGCGCCTGTAGTCCCAGCTACTTGGGAGGCTGAAGCAAGAGAATCGCTTGAGCCCAAGAGTTGGAAGTTGCTGCGAGCTGTGATGCTACAGCACTCTACTGAGGGAGACATAGTGAGACTCTGTCTCAAAAAAAAAAAAAAGCAAGCTTCACAGCCATTCTTGCCACAGCCAGGTAGAGTGGAAGGGACTTTAAGCTGCAGGGAACACTGTATGTCCCGCAACTTGAGGCAGGAGTAACAGAGGAAGTGTGTTCATTGAATTGGTGCGGAAAAACGCGGGGTGGTGAGAGAACAGAAGAGAAATTGAGGAGACAGCCTTTGGAAAGAGAACTCAGAAAAAGGGACCTCTTTAAAATAAAAGTAAAAATATACATCAATAAGGAGAGCGAGGGAGTGTAGAGAGGATTTGACATCCATATTGTCCAGTTTCACTCCAGTTCTCCTCTTTCCTTCCTCACAAACTCTCCGAATGATTTCCGCCTTTACATCTTCATCAGCCACATATACATACAATACACTGCAGTACTTGCACTTAATCAGTCCTGTTTTTTCGAGACAGAGTCTCACTGTGTTGCCCTGGGTAGAGAGTGCTGTGGAGTCACAGCTCACAGCAACCTCAAACTCTTGGGCTTAAGTGATTCTCTTGTCTCAGCCTCCCGAGTAGCTGGAACTACAGACGCCTGCCACAACCTTGGCTATTTTCTGTTGCAGTTGTCATTGTTTATCAGGTCCAGGCCGGATTGAAACCCTCCAGCCCCGGTGTATGTGGCCGGCACCATAAACACTGCACTATGAGCGCCAAACTCCTTCCTTTTCTTTCTTTCTTTCCCTTTCTTCCCTTCCTTCCTTCTTTTTAAAAAAGAGGAATGCTCTCAGTATGTTACCCAGTCTGAACTTTGGATTCTTGGGCTCGAGGGATCTTCTCGCCTCAGCTTCTCAAGTAGCTGGGACTACTACTTCTGCTGCAGACACAGCGCACGGCCATAAAGTACATTCTTATCACCTCAGAAAGTTCTCTCATACCCCTTTGCCCTGCCCCAAGAGGCAATTATTCTTCTTTCTGCTAACATAGATTAGTTTTGTCTGTTTATGTGAATAAATGGACTCATACTGTACATACTCTTCGTAGACGTGGGGAGTCTAACTTCTTTCCCTTGATTTCAAGATTCATGTTTTTGCATTGTTCCAAGCTCTTTCATGCTGTTACATTTATCAGCAATCTGTTCTTTTTTTCTAAATGAGAAATATTCTACGGAATAACTAAACCACAATTTGTCCATTCTTCTGTCAATGAATTCAGAAACTGGCTGAGAGGCTGGAGAATACATTTAGTTGTTTCCAGTTTGGGGCCACTGTGAATAAAGATAATATGAACATTCTTGTGCAAGATGTTTTGTGATCAGATGCATTTGTTTCTCTTGGGTAGAAGTAGATGAACAGAATTCAAATTCAACTTAATGCCTGAGATCCTAGGACGATGGAAGGCCCAGGCAGGTGGACTGTCTGAGCTGAGAGCTGGAGACCAGTGTGAGCAAGAACAAGACCCCCATCTCTCTAAAAATAGCCAGGCATTGTGGTGGGCAACTATAGTCCCAGCTACCTGGGAGGCTGAGGCAAGAGAATTGCTTTAGTCTAAGAGTTTGAGGTTGCTGTGAGCTATGATGCCATGGCACTCTACCAAGGACAACAAAGTAAGACTCTGTCTCAAAACAAACAAAAAAACCCCAAATTCTAAGTTTATTATTTTATTTTTATTTACTATATTTTGTGTTTTATTTATATTACATTATATTATATATTTTGAGGCAGAGGCTCACTCTATCACCCTAGATAGAATGCCCTAGTGCTATAGCTCACAGCAACCTCAAACTCTTGGGTTCAAATGATCCTCTTGCCTCAGCCTCCCAAGCAGCTAGGACCACAATGCCCAGCTGTTTTTTAGAAATGGAGTCTCACTTTTACTCAGGCTGGTCTCCAGCTCAGGCCATCCACCTACCTCCGCCTTCCAGAGTGCTAGAATTACAGGTGTGAGCCACCATGTAATCCAGGCAAATACTCTTTGGAAACTCTCCAATTCATCTAGAACAGTGGTTCTCAACCTGTGGGTTGCAACCCCTTTTGACTGTAGGGTTGCAGCATTAGGAAGGTTGAGAACCACCGATCTAGGATCTGAGTTTGGGAGGTTCCACCAGCAGTTGTATGACTTCAGGACAGAAAGACCCCACTCTAGTAGCCCTTATTGGAGGAAAAGAAGGGATGGGTTCCAAGACCACCATAAGAAACCAGGCACATCTAATTCCTAAATGTATTGACAAAAACCTAGAGTTGCATGACTTTTGCATAAAACACTACTTGGAATATTGAGGCAAGATAGTGGAGGAATGGTAGACAACAATTAGGGATTTCTATGACTTGTGGGTGTACATTACAAGAATTTTCTCTCCCCTCACCTCCTTACTTTGAATAACAGATTCAAAGAAAATCTCGGCTCGGGGTCTGTGGCTCAAGTGGCTAAGGGGCCAGCCACATACACCTAAGGTGGGGGGTTCGAATCCCCAGCCCAGGCCCGCCAAACAACAATGATGGCTGCAACCAAAAAAATGGCCGGGCATTGTGGCAGGGGCCTGTAGTCCCAGCTACTTGGGAGGCTGAGGCAGGAGACTTGCTTGAGCCCAGGAGTTGGAGGTTGCTGTGAGCTGTGATGCCATA